TTAAATACAGAAAATTGTGGCTATGCTAGTGTCATGCAGCACTGCTGTTATGGTGCTGTAGCTATTTATGTTTGAGCTTCTGGAAAAAATACAAAGGCAGATCTAGAGTACTTTGCTGGTTTGTTTTGGTTTTTTTTTCAAAAGTATTCAGATAATCATCTGTATATCTTTCATATTTTAAGTATCTTGTCTTGAAAAGTACTGAGCATTAAGTTATAAGCTAGATATGTGAAGACTTTATTTTCATAGCTTTTTGTGCCAAATTAAAAAAAAATACAGATTTTTAAAAACTATTGTATTTATAAGTTAAGTAATAGACAACGAGTACATAAAATGTAGCAGAGTAAAATGTCTTTAAGATCAGGCAGTGACAACAGAAAATTTTTGTTTGTTTCTAATTATAGGTAAAATTATAAAATCTGTTCCAGGAAAGCTGATGAAAGAGGTAAGTAAGTCTTCTAGGTTGCCAACATTTTAACTTCAATGACTAATTTTATGTGCTACTAACTTACAAGCTAGTCAAAAATTTGTTTGGAAACACAGGTTTTTGGTTTTTTGGTGGTTTTTTTTCTATAATTATGTAAGTGACAGGTCACTCGTATCTTATTTCAGAAAGGTCAGCATTTGGAACCGTTCATCATGAATTTTATCAACTCCTGTGAATCTCCCAAGCCTAAACCAAGTAGGCCTGAACTTACCATTTTGAGTCCCACTTCTGAAAATAACAAGAAGGTACAGTAAGTCATCTACCTTCCCCACTTTACCAGTGCAGGGAAAATTGACCATACTCTGAACATGCAAAGAATAAACAGAAAAGAACATAAATATGACACCTTACCTATTTTGTGTTGTCTTTTTGCACAAGAAAGTAGTAGTGCAGAGATTTGCTGTCTTCTGTCTTGTAAGTGTCTTAGTCTGAATGACTTTTGAGGGTTGGTTGTTTGGGTTTTTTGGTTCTTTATGGGGTTTTGTGGTGGTGTTTTGTTTTTTTTTTTTTAATTCTTACTGGATTTGGAGATGAGGATACAAAGTAGAGAGCCTGGGAAGTACAGAGAGAAGAAGAGGGAAAGTAAAGGTATAAAATGGGAAATGTTTTAATACCGTGAGGCAGCTTCCTTTTTGAAGTAAGATGAGCTTGAGTGTTTGACAAACGTGTGGCTTGTCAAAGGGCTACGAGCCAAAATTGTCAAGGTGCTGATACCTGTTTATCTGCCTTTAAAACATTAGTATGCAGTTCATTAATGTCTGGTGTACATAATATATTAACTATATAATTTAACTGTAGTTTCTCTCTCCAACCAGTTTGCCACAGCTAAAGCCCAACACTTCCAATTTTAACCTTGTATTTGATTGTACAAAAAGGTAGCTCTTAGTCTTCCTGTATTTGTGGAATTTACAGAGGAATATTGCTTCTAGACTAGGATTTGAGAGACCCAAGGTCAGTGTTACAGAGTTGATGTGATTTGGGACGAAATATTTAATGTGCACGCACTTTGCCATGTGAGAGGTTCTAAAAGAAAACTCAGTACTCTATGTTTTTCTGCTATCTTGTTAGCTTTGGGAAGGGGAGTTGAAACTGGGCTGTGTAAGCTAGGATACTTCATTTTGCAGTGATAAATTGGAGATGTATAATGCATAGCATGAGAGGGCAGGAGATAAAGATTGGAGTTTTTTTCCCCTCTCTCTTCTAGTGCAAAAACTAAGAGGCATTAAATGAAGGTGGTAGGAGCCAGGTTCAAAACAGAAAGTGGTAGTTCTTGCAATGGTTAGTAGATTTGTGGAACTCCTTACCAAAAAGATGTTGTGAATACCAGAAGTTTAAACAACTGTAAGGTGAGACTGGACAAATGCGCAAAAAAGGAAATATATTAGGGGTGAATACCTGTAGAGAGACCGCATCTAGCACTTGAACTAATTTTTAGTTGAAAACAATTGGAGGCTGGAAGAGTATTGGTGAAAATTACTGTCTAAGCCTGTTCTCCTCTTGCAAGAGCTAGAAACCCAGGATCCATTTATGGTTCTTGTTCATGATGGGCTGTTAAAAAAAGTGGACCTTTTGATTTCCCTCACTGTGGACACTTTTATAGTGTTACGACACTTACAGAATTTGCAGCTACAAAACTTCTATAATGATTAAGTACAATGGCAGTTAAATGTATTACTTTGTTTACATTTCATCTTCTAAACCTGAAGTCTGAATTACTACAGCCAATACTGTACTATTAGCTTACATGTGCACGCACACAAATTAGTAGTCTTCATTTCAAGTCCTTTCTTACCTTGGACGCTATTTCTAAGGTTAAGATACTTTGCTGTTGTTGTCTGTTCAGAGGGATATAAATGTATCAGCAGTTTTAAAAATCAGATGTAGAGTTTTTGACTTGTGCTAGAAACAGTACAAGCAAAAATAATTCAAATGCTTTTTATAAAACAGCTGACAGCATGCTACAGCATATTATGAACAATCCATGATTTTTTTACTGTGATCTGTCAAGAACTACTGAAGTTAGTAGCTTTAATACATTTAACATACTTAAATAAAATGTTTGAGCAACAAGCTTTGCATTCTGAAGCATTCCTGTGAAGACAGGCTTCTTTCCATAGTTTGATTTCAAAACTTCAATAGAGGACCAAACCTAATTCTTTAAAGTGGTATTCAAAACCATTTTGCATTGTAAAAGGTTAAAAAAATGTATATAGCATTGCTCAGTTAAAATACAAACTCTAATGTGTTGTATGTTAGAACATGTGTACAGAAATTTAGGCTCTGAAATGAGGTTTTCCCAATTCTCTTCAACTGTGGTGATCCCAGGAAGGCAAAGAACTGGCTGCATTTTGGCTTTCATTTTGGAACACTGAAGTTTCCTTAAACAAAATGTAGATCTTTGCTGCCTTCTGTTTTCTAATGTCATATTTGGAAATAGTACTGTGGGGGAAGCCGCCTTAGCACTGTTGACTTAACGCCCACGTATGCGCTCCATTGGAAACTCAAGTTTGTAGAGTCCGAGTCAAAGTTGTTGCTAGTACTGCTGATCACCCCGCAGGAGGTGCTTTTGTCATGAGGTATGAATTTCTTTGCAGACAGCAAAAAAGATGAGGCCACCCTCAGCTCCCCACTCCTTCCTACTATCTGTTGTGAGAGTGAGTCCACTGTCCTTCTAAGCAACTTTATTCTAGTTAGCTGTTTTATGAATAAGTAATTGGTTCTACATATATTTTAGATTTTCTTTTTTCTTTTCCAAAATAAACCTGCTTTGTTTTGGGGAGCCATTTGCTGTAAATGGATGGAAAGTTTCAGACTTCAGTGTATGTCCTGCAGAGTTATGATTATTATTTAATGATGGTTACTCAAGACACTTTGTCTTGGGGGATGCTGCAAGACTGTTCTATGATCAGATACTCAGTATCTGTTTGTACTCAAATGATAGTACCAGTTTTGACCAGGAGAGGCACGTATGCATAAGGAACTCACATGCTGGCTGCTTTCTTACTAATTTCCCATCTAGCAATTTAGCCAGAGTGCGCACACTTACTGACACTATTACTGTAATTATCAGAGATCTGATAGCCCAGGTTTCAGTGTGTTATGGTCTCTGCTGAGTCTTCCCATGCACACTGTGAAATTCATCTCTCTTGATGATTTGTTGGGGTGCTTGTGCCTTCTTTGGAAGACAATTTTCTCTTTCTCAAGTCAGCCCACACTTGGGAAAAGCTTTGTGCCAGGTGCCAGGGTACTGCACTGTTTACATCTTCTCACTTAACTGGATTTGATTTGTAAGCCACGCCGGTTTCATTTACCAGACGATTTTAGTTAGGATCAGCGATGCTTTTTTGGAAGCAAATCTCCTGATGATCTCCACTTACTGCTTTCTCTCCTACTAGGGAGCTGTCTTTGAACTCATTAACTGAATTTATTTCAGGTGAAGCTAAGCTGGAAAATGCTGGCTAGGAGTGCAGGCGCAAAGGGGTGTTCAGTCCAAAGGCCAGACCAAAGGTAGACTTGAGATAACACCCCTCCCCACCCCGCCAAATATGTTTGGCATAGACTTCAGTTGTTCAGTTCTGCAGTTTCACTCCTGCTGTGCCACGTGACGTCTTCGTGAAGATGCAAAGTGCTGTGCAGCACCCTTACCCAATAGAGGCTGGTGATGGAGGTGAATGCTAAGTGTCTGTACCAGGATTGTGTGAGCTACCTGTATGGAGTCAATGAGGAGATCTGGCAGGCAGCCAAAGAGATGGAAGGTTGGCACTTTCTGGGGGCTCATCTGCGAGAAGAGCATGTTATCTCATAGCAAGAAAGTTCTATGACACCGAATCTCTTGGTTAACGCTAAAGTCGATTTCCAGCTGATGCTTGTATTGCCACAGTGTTCCTGTATACCTTGTCTGGCACGGATCTATTTATTCTAGTGTCAACACATTGGAATCTGCTGAGAATGCAACACAAGTTCCCCGGTGCTTGTGCTACCAACGCTATTGCCATCAATAGGGTACACCGGGCTGCCTCTTCATCAACGGGCTGAATAAGAAATGCCTGACAGTCTGTCAGGGCAGGTGTAGGCTTTGAGTTCAATCAGAAATGCACCTACTTCTCTGAAAGATTTTTCTGCATGCTGCTTCCTTTTGAATATTCCTGGTGCCATGTGTATGTTTGTATGCTTTAAATATTGGTGGAAAGAATTCTAGTTAAAAATGCATAATGAACATGGGTAATCAACCTCAGTACAGCCAGTAGCGATTGGGTTTTATCCTATATCAGATCCACTAGATTGAAAGAGTTACCAGCCTCCGTGGTTAAACACATGAACAAAAAACCCTACTCCCCCCTCCTAGGGGCACCAGGAGGATTTCTGGCTTTCCCAGCTATATTTCTGTTCTGAAGGTCTGTAAGCAGCACTATTGCCTTCTGAACATACTATTGTCAGACTTGCTAGACTAGTTCAGGACTTACGAGCTCATGCAGACTTTGCAAAATATGCCTACGGAGGCATTGTTCCGCTGGCATGTAATCACCTGCCACCAGCAATAAAAACTGCTTTTGGAACACCAACAGTGTAACGTATGTTTATGCATAGTTACTTGGAGGAAGACACAGTTGCTTTTTAATACACTAACTGGTGTGGTTCAGCCACTGCATACATTTTTTCTTCTTACCGTTTTGGTAATCTGTACTTTGCAAATGAGTGGGAAAAACGGTGGAGAGGTTAATGCCTCTGGTTGTGGATATTGTTCATAATTGTGGTACTGCTTCTATAAATTTCACACCTCTGCTGGAATGTGTAGGCGTATATTTGCATATGCACTCACTAACGGCTGAGTAATTTTCTTTTTTTCTATTAGGCACTTTACGTAAGCATTCATACTTATTTTGCTAGCTTTTCCCACCAAGAAAGCCTCTTGTACAAGGAATTACTTTGGTCTTTTTCTTAATACAGGCCTTTTATCTTTCACTTGCTTCAAGAGCTTTGCTTCCATTATTAAACAGTGCTAATCCGTGGAATTTCCTCATTTAAAGCCTTTTAAGAATATTTCATGGTTATAATCAGTTACTGTTTAATCTTAAAGATCTGAATAATGATAGCATTGGAGTTTGTCTTGCTTGTCTTTTTTTAGTCTTAATTACAACAGTGAGCATTATATCATGTGTCAAATATTAACATGCGCAAAAACATTTAAAAGCCAAATCCTGCGCTTATCTGAATTGTGAATATAATCTCAACTTTTGTATTAGATACCAAATTGTATGCTTTTCACTTGGCTTTCTTCTGAGGCAACGTCCTAGAAAGTGCAAAAGACCTAAGTAGAGATGTAATGCTACTTTGTGTTACGGCTGCTGCGTCCTTCAGACGTGCATTGCTGATGACTGTAGAACAAACACTTGCACTGGAATAGTGCAAAGTATATACTTTATAAAAACTGCTTATTGGCTCCATAATTTTGGCATGCGTGGATCTGCTGTTGCTTTCTGAAATGCCATGTGCAAGACTCTAAGCTTTCAGAGCTTGACAATGATCGAGGAACCATTATATTTAAGACCCAAGACAGATTATCCACGTGCAGAGGTACGTGCTACGTTCAAAAGATACTGCTTCTGGTTTGGGGTGAAAGTTGAAATAACTTTTGGAAGCCAAAAAGCTTTGCCCTAAGATGGCCTTCATGTTTGATTTTTTTTTTTTTTTTTTTAATAGATCACCTACTGGACTGCTGTTAATGATTTAGTTTGGTCTGTACACCCTCCTCTGAACCTATAGCTACGTTGTGTAATGGGCTGCTTTGAGTTGGCTCAGTATCTATCACCTCTGTCAGGTCATGGGGTGTATCTAAAAAATAAATGAGACTCTTGTTTAAGTTAAGTTAAATCAAATAAGATTTTCCAAGTTTCCTAGAATCAGTATTGAAGAAGATACAGACTTCAGTTTATACAGGGTTTTTTAAACAACATACCAGGGATGCTTTCATACAGTAGGCGTGAATAATTATGTGTTCTTTTTAGGTTTGTTACTTTCCTGGATACCAGTCATCCACCAGCGCATTAGCCATGTTTGCTCTTTCATGTAATTTACATAGTAACTTGGTGTTATTTAATTTGAGTGAACTTTGAGAAGATAATGCCAGCAGTTCAGCGTTTAACAAAAGAGAGGGCCTAAAGAAGTACAAGTCAAAACCTTGGTCTTGCCAGATTTCCTGATGTAATTTTTCCTAAGAGTGCAAAGCGTTCTGTTTAGAGACTTGCATAATTCAGAGCCTGTTGCAATTTGGATGTTTTATTGGCCTTATTTATTTCAGGGAGAACTGCTCTGCAGAAAGTGAACCACATATAAGCAAATTACTTCCTATTCCTTGGAGCTATTTTTCATTTGGGAGTGATACAGAAAAATCTGTGCCAGTAGCAATCATCTCAACCTAGGCAACGCTATAATTGCAGTGCATTTGCCTCTAGTTTGGGGCTATTTTTTTAGAAGCTCGGCATAAACTTTTGAACTTTCTTTTCATAATACAAGAGTATTTTGTGTCATTTTTTTTTTTTTCTTTAGATCAGCAGTTTGGGGGATAAGATAACTTAGCAATCACCATTAACAGTTTATTTTAAGTATTGTCAACTGTGGAGAGCCTCAAAATTTGGAGAACTCCTCCTTCCCAGCTGCTGGAGCCCACAGACTTGGGGCAGGGGAAGGAGTACTGCCTAGGGGGTATGAGACTCCTTATGGGCTGACGGGAAGAGCCTCTTGGCATTTTACAAGTGTTATAATGATATCTTTTGGGGAAGAACCAAAGGCAAGGAAATGGAGGGATCATGGTGGTGGTCAGGGGAACATAAGAAAAATAGAAGAATAAAGGAATGAAATGAGAAATGGAAATGGAAAGAAACCCAAACTTCATTAACTCATGAAGTTTTTGCTATAAATAATCAAGCTGTCAGGGGAAAAAAGGATTCCTCTGTGTAAAAAGTTGGCTATTTTGTCTAGAAACCATTGTATTTATTTCAAAATGGAAGCCAGCAGGAAATTTTAGGAACAGTTGGATGTCATAGGGTTCCCCTGTGATTTAAGGCTAACAAACACTGTATCCTTTATGCCCCTCGGTACATCAGAGGAATGAAAGCCTGTGATAAAAGTCTAGATACAGGAAGCTATCAGGAGCAAAAGGGCTAACGAATTAATGTCTTGGTGATGATTTGTTCTGAATCCAGGTATTTTGGTTGTCAGGTATCACCAACATGCGACGTGCTCTTTATTTTTTTCCTCCCTGTGGGAAGTGAAGAGGATTTTTAAAAAACAAAACTGCTTAGTTCTTTGAAAGCTCTGGGAATAAAGCTACTTCTAATAAAAAAAAAAAACAAAAACAACCCAACCCTAAGAACTGATAGCTATCCTTTTGCCTTTGAATGCAGTGTTTTCAGTGTTCTGTTTCTGTTTTTAGCTTTTCAATGATTTATTCAAGAATAATGCAAACCGGTCTGAGAATACAGAAAGACGACAAAATCAGAACTACTTCATGGAAATGATGACTGTAGAAGGAGTCTATGACTACTTAATGTATGTTGGTAAGAAGTGATTTCTCTTAATTATTCTTGTACTTCATACCAAATACGAAGTTTTGGTTCTTTGGTAAGAAATTAAATTATACTGTAGTAATCATTTATGATTCAGCACTTGCAAGCTTAACAATATACAACGTGGGAACACAGTCATTCTTTACAAGACTTTATTGCTGTGCTAAAACATTGCAATTTATCATTCTTTATTGCTCAGTTCTTTTGTTATATCTCTTTCTTTCTGCTTCAGAGTATGAGCTTATGGGAGTAGGTCTGTTCCCTTTTCTCAGATGTACCTAGGCTGCTTCTACACTCTGGGAACTAATTAATAAAAAAAGTTAAAGGAAGTATTTGATAGGCAGTTGGAGAATAGTGATTTTTTTTCCAGCATTGCACTAAAATAATACTTGCTTGCTGGCAATCTTTTCTTTCTTTTTTTTCTTTTTAATAAGCGACTCCTTTATCATCATTATTAGGAGAACATTGTAAATGTGTGTTACTGTAACTCTGCAGGTAGGGTAGTTTTCCACATTCCTGACTGGCTGCATCACCTCTTGATGGGAGGAAGAATTCTCTTCAAAAATACATTGGAACTGTACACTGACTACTACTTGCATTATAAGTTAGAACAGCTATTTCAGGAGCACCGGTTGGTTTCTCTGATAACACTGCTGAGAGGTTAGTAAAAGTTAACATCTTTGACGTGAAAATACTGCTTTCGTTTGGCATTTGAAATCCTTTCTTTTAAGTTGCCAAGTACTAAACTTTGCAATGCTTGACTAAAGCTAATGGAGTTTTAAAAATCAAGTTGGCCTATAAAAAGATTCCAAAAGCTCATTGTGGAAAGATGCTGAGTCAGCCATGTTGTCTGTCAACGATGATTACAGAAAAAAAGTATTATGAATAGTACCTTGCTAAGGTGTGCAAAGAACAAGAAAAACAGAATAAAGGTGGTTTGGTATATCAAAGTGCAAATATTTCATGCGGTCTTTAAATTACTTTTCACTTGTGTGCTACATCACAGTCCTTTAACTTTTTTGTTCCCTCTGTTGTGGTAGGCTTTTAAGGGGGTTTCAGTGTTCTTGGCCTTCAAATAAGGGAAGGGGGGAGAGGTTAAAAAAAAATTTTAACATAACCTTGCAGCTGTAGAGAAGTATTATCTGACTACGGTCTGATATAAACAACACATCTGGCCAAAGCTCTGCAATCAAGACAGCTCTGTCCTTATCAAGCCAAAAAAAAAACCTTGTAAAAACAAAGGAAATGAATAAGTGTTTCAGAGCCTAAACCAAAACTGAGCGCCTAACGTTTCTGATGAACAACAATTCTTGTTTTTTCATGTGCAGGTAAATCTGAGGTTTGTTTTTTTTTTTTTTTTTGTTACAGTTCCAGGCAGTGTCCAGGCACGAGGTTTTTATACTGCTTATAGTTTTGAAAATATAAGGGAAATTGTAAATAAGGAGATCATAACTAACCTGAAGTAGAATTGATCCAAACCTAGAAGATAATGCTTTAAAAATTTGAAAAGAATGGAAACAAATTGGCAAAAAGATTGTCCTCTACACAGGCAGGGGATTCTGGATTCGACTAGGCTAATGTAAGCAAAAGCCTATTATCTGGCAAGGCTAGAATTCCCTTCTGGTCAAGATCACACAGAAAAGAAGCTCAACTTCGAAGCCATAATCCAAAAGGCGTTTCATACGTCAGTGATGCGTAGCTGCCGAAAAACTTTTTTTCAATGTGTCTTCGCTGCAGATGCCGTGTTCTGTGAGAATACCGAACCTCGCGCTCTCCAGGATAAACAGAAGCGAGCAAAGCAGACTTTTGAAGAGATGATGAGATACATTCCAGGTTCTGTATTTCACGACTCTCTATAGGAGTACGGTTAATTGTTCAGAGATATATAACCCGGATACAGTCACGTTAGCTTTCCAAATCAAATACTTACGCTGCTGAGATTTGAGTTGACTAGAATACTAGTACAGTTTGGTCACTTAAGTGTTGCTGACTCAGGTTATAGCATAGTGATTAATAAAGAGATTATGGAAATAAAAGAGCTTTACAAATATATTTAATACCATAATTTCTTCATTTTTAGAATGCTCTTATGGTTTGTATTTTATCCAGATGAGAACTGGGTTAAAAAAGGCACACTGTGAAGCTGGAAGATAAATCTGAGCTCTCCTTAAACTGTATAAACTAAGGAAGAGGGTCCCATTTGCTAGATTATTCAGAAAGTAATGAAAAAATTTCAGCTTATGGTTTATTAAAGAATGCATTAGGGCAATACATTGATGTAATAAAAAGTGGAATACTAAGGTGTGCAGCCCTGAAGGAAAGGGAAGGGGAAAAAAGGAGGAAGCAAAGGAGTGTTTGTTTTTCCATTTACCACTTTAGATGGATAAAATTTGAACTCTTTAAATTAAACTTAAGTTACATGAGTTCTATAACTGTATCGTATAGCTGTTTTGCAGTGCTTTCTATTGACTTGTGTATTTCTTGTTGGTATCTGGTCTAGATTTAATAGGCAAGTGCATTGGGGAAGAGGCTAAATACGAAGGCATCAGGCTTCTGTTTGATGGGCTGCAGCAACCAGTGCTCAACAAACAGGTAACTTGCAATGCATGAGAAATGCGCCTTTTGGCATGGGATTTCCTGAAATGAATGTATGGCTATAGCAGAGGAGCGAGCTGTAATTCAGTGTTAAAAATAAAAAGCAGTACTGTTGCCTTGGAGTGTTCTTAATATTCTTTATTTTCTTTTAGTTAACTTATGTTCTGCTGGACATTGGGATTCAAGAACTCTTTCCAGAGCTGAGTAAGGTATGTGCTAACTCTCTTCAAGAGCCGCAGAATTCTTCAAGCTGCCAGTGACTCTGGTTGTTGGTGCATTTTTGCTGCTGTTCCCTTGTGATACTAATTTTAAATTTTGGGGAAAATCTGTGTTTTACTAATGTGTTGAAATCATCGAAATCTGGAATGCTTACATTTTTATTAATTAGCTCTTCCCAAATCAGTTTAGGCTCATTTGTCTAGCGTACAGCAAGTCTGAGCTGCTGTTCAGTAGAATTGGACACAGCAGTCAGGATCTCTGTGCCTTTCTTTTGATTGATCGTCTCCACTCTGTTTTGTGCATTTCCTGATTTAGGAATGAATTCTGCATGCAAAGCTTAGGTTGAGCTTCATCATTTTTCTTGAGAATATTTGGCAGGAGGGTTTCTTACCTCTAGTTTGGTCACTGCAATATTAACTCCCAGCTATCCAGATAAAGGAGAAAGCATTTGCACAACACAAAGCACTATATAAATGCATATCATTAGGTCTGTGATCTATCTGATAGTTGTACTTATGTATATAAAAACTTCAGAGTTTTACATAATAATTTTACAGTTTGGTCTTCATGGAGATATTAGCTAGTTAACTAGATATAAAAAAAAAAAAAAACCCAAACGAAAAAGCCCTTCACATACCATAGAAGTTTGTTGCATGAGCCCTCTGTGTGAGAACTGTGGAGTGCCAGCAGTGGTTTGTCAGAACAAGCTAGGGCGCCTTCCGTTGTTTTCACTGAAATAAGACCAGCTTTGCAAGTCAAGTCTAACCTACTCTGTGCTCTGTAGCTGGCCTCCTTGTGTCACTGTTCAAACAGTTAAAAACAAACAAAAGAAGACATGACCGACCAAGGGAATAAGGAAGTAGCCTGGAGGCTCGTGTGCCTTAAAAAAACCCTGCTGGTTTACTCCACTGAACTGTTTTCATATCTCGGCAGCTAATAATACATGTATAGGAACACTGGTCTTTCTTCAGTTGATGCTGAAAAAACCTAAAGGCTTTGTGTGTTAAGCATTTAAATAGTCTTTTAAAGCACTGGTCAGGCCCAGAGGGGTGGTGATCAGTGGAATGAAGTCTAGTTGGAGGGCAGTAACTATGGAGGTATCCAGGGGTCAGTTCTGGGTCCAATCCTGGTTAACATCTTCATTAATGATCTGGTTGATGGGGCAGAGTGCAAGGCTGCTGCCACAAAACTGGGAGGAGTGGCTGATAGACCAGAGGGTTGTGCTGCCATCCAGGGGATCCTCAACAGGCTGGAGAAATGGGCTGACATGAACTTCAACAACAAGAAGTGCAAAGTCCTGCTCCTGAGGGGGAACAACCCCAGGCACCAGCATGTGCTGGGGCCACCCAGCTGGAAATCAGCTTGGCAGAAAAGGACTTGGGGGTCCTGGTGGGCGCCAAATTGACCATGAGCCAGCAATGGCCCCTTGCTGCAAAGGCGGCAAATGGTCTCTTGGGCTGCATTAGGAGGAGTGCTGCTGGCCAGTCAAGGGAAGTGATCCTTCCCCTCTACTTGGTGCTGGTGAGGCCACACCTGGAGAGCTGTGTCGAGGTCTGGGCTTCTCAGTACAAAAGAAACATAGACATACTGGAGAGACTCCAGTGAAGGGTTATGAAGATGATGAAGGCACGGGAGCATCCCTCCTATGAGAAGAGGCTGAGAGAGCTGGGAGTGTTCAGCCTGGAGAAGAGAAGGCTCAGGGGGATCTCATCAATACATACAAATACCTGATGAGAGGCTGCAAAGAGGACAGAGCCAGGCTCCTTCCAATGGTGCCCAGTGCCAGGACCAGAGGCAATGGGCACAAACTGAAACATGGGAGGTTCCCTCCGAACGTCAGGAAAGACTTTTTCACTGTGTGGGTGATTGAGCACTGTCACAGGTTGCTCAGGGAGACTGTGGAGTCTCCATCTTTGGAGATGTTGAGAAGCCATCCAGGCATGGTCCTGGGCAACCAGCTCTAGATGGCCTTGCTTGCGGTTTGGCTCAAATGGCCTCCAAAGGCACCTTCCAACCCTAACTATGATGTGATTCCATAACAGTGTGTATATTTAATGGGGTGAAATTTTTTTTTCTTCAAAAACAAATGAAGAAAAGATTTAATTTAAATCAAGATTATGGTTTGAACAACTTCTTAATCCATCCTTCTGTTCTGTATAACTGTGACCCTGCCTGACTGCTCTGCAGTGTTTCAGAAAACCAGATGCAGAGGAGGGACCTCTAACACTGCCGCTGGTCCTAGTGCAACAGCAGAGTTGAGGCCTGGGCTCCGCTGTCCCCTGTGACTGAAGCTGATGGGAGCAGAGCGAGGGAATTCACTGGCCCCGATTTCAGTAGAGGAAAGGAAGAGAAAACACTCCAACCAGGAACTTCAGCCATTTTCCCTTTTTGGATGTACCAAGAGAAGTACAGAACAAAGTACTGCTGCTGTGGTGTTTGACAGTGGGACCTGGTCGTGAGCATACTAGGGCTGTGATGGACCTGGTGAGGCAGCTGAGGAGGGATCACCATGCGAAGGGAAACGCAAGGTGAAGAGGGTATGGGTGGAGGGCAGCAGTTTTCATCTGGAGGCCTAAATGAACAAAAAAAGAATTCCCCCAAATCACTGCAAACTGACTATGAAGCCATTTGGGAAAAGAATTACTTCCTCCAAACACTTGTAATGGGCAAGTATAAAAGTAATGACCAGTTCTTACTTAGTTACCAGTTATATGGCAGAGGGGGTCGCTCCAGTGACTGTTCTTCCCATTCAACAGAGACTGGTCCCTCTTGAGTTGCTCGATACCAAAGTGTGCTTGTAGTTACAGTGAAGAACAGAAAAATATTTCAGGTTGGTCAGTGTTTACGGGGAAAACTGAGCATCCTGGATTTCCATTTGCTTCCCGCTCTTGAGATCTGGTATCTCGAAGGTGTATCCTGCTACATGTACCAAGGCGGATATAGTCTGGATCACTTCTGATATGCTGTGTTTAATGGCAGCACGAGTAAGTGAACAAGTTCTAAGGATAAGAGGTGAAAAACACCTAATATACAACTTTTGCCTTTGCTGCAATGTACAGCCAGTCCCTTGGAAGTCTGTTAGACAGGAAAGGGGACAGCTGAGAGAGGAGAGGAGAAGAGAAGCATTCCTAGCAGAGGAAGGAAAGAAATCCAGCTGAAGAAGTATCATGCCAGCGCCATTTCCAGAGCAGAAAATTGCTGTGTTAAGAAAATTGTATTTAGCAGTTAGGAATGGGGGAGGCGAGAACTTCCAGAGAAAGAAGAAAATACCTATTTTCAGAAATAGTGTTAAAAACCGGAAAGCAGCAGCCTTCCTTTCTCTTAACCCTGCTTTCAATTGGATGTTTTCAAATACCATTAATCACTACAGCTCAGTTCAGTCATTTATATGTAAATATGCATTTCCATACTTAATAAGTAATTTTTTTCTCCTCCATTACTGTTTGACAGGGTCCGAAGGAAGCTAGCTCTGTGTCATGTTGGATGTGAGCGCAGGGATCTTGCTGGACACCCGGTAGCAACCCTTGCTGTGTGCTCTTGTGATGGACATGTGGCATTTTAGCCTTGCAGTGTATATTTTCTTGTAAATAACATGAAACTTAAGTCCTAAAAAAATCTCTTTATGCAATAAAGACATTAACATTTAATACCAATTACAAGTAAATGATATATCTGTACTTTTTATTTAAAATTTGTTTTAGCTGTTATCGGAGAAAGTCAAATTAATTTCCCCAGAATCTCTGCGCCTGAGATTACAGGATGACATGAAATAAGACAGCTGGGAGACCAGCCAAGGTATGCTTTGCTAAAAGAGCAATTACTGTTCTCTTCCTTAAAGGATATATAGAAAAATTGTTTGGAAGAAGTTGTAGAATGCTCCCATGAAGTTATTTTTAACTATCTTAACAAATATTACTATTTTTTTTAAAGAAAATTACGTGATTGAATCCATTGCATACAAATGATCTCAGAACTATTTTTGGCCTTCGTGCTTTCTGTGAGCATGGAAAATCTTGTGTAATTTAGTTTATTTAATATCTGACCTTCAAATCTGAAGCACTCTTAAAATAATAATGGTGTGAAAAGTGGTTTTGACTTTTACCTTAGCCTTTAATTTTCGTATCTGGGTTTGTCAGTTTTTTTCTGACATCCTATTTACAGGCTTAGAAAAGAGGATGCGAGTATGTTCATAGCATTTTCTAAAAATTTATTAGTATAAAAATGTGTGGAAGACTTTTCCTGTAAATCTTAATTTGTTGGCCCAGCCTTTATAAAAGAGACTTTGAAAAGGATTTTTAACAGGTTTTACTCACAGAACAATACAGAGATATTTTAACAAGAATTCCTTGGCTTCTCTTTTCGGACAACACCCATTTTCTCCTTTTACAAGCAAACCAATCCAATGCAGTATTCGTGTTCTCTGTCGATACAGTCGGCATTATATCTGTATTACTTCTGCGTACGTTTTCCTTCCGTTTGTCAAAAGAAGGGAAAAGTGTTATTTCTCTCTGAGTATGCCGAAGGAGATGTCGCAACTCTTAAAAACTGGCATGCAGGTACAGCTCGGTGCGTAAGTGCACTCTCTGTTACTGGCTTTATGCTGATTGGGGGAAGACCATTCTGTAAAATAGTAAGTTTAGGGGCTGGTATTGACAACTCATCAATGCCGTCTTACAACTAGGAGTGTGTCATGGTCGGTTGTTGTTTGTCTCCCTGTTCTAACACAGCTCACCCAATGCAGCTGCATAGTCCAGATCTTTTCCTGTGCAACCCTCAAATTTACGTGGAAACTACTCAGGTCTTGAAATTTAAACACACTGAATGTTTATCTTAATGCACTTCCTTGAAATCTGTAGGTGCAGTGAATTTAAAGGGCGAGTAGCTTGGGTCTGAAAAAGACTAGCGTGCTTTCCAGAAAAACAAAGCAGGTTTATTCAAAACACTGCGAATCAGTTTAATAAAGCAGTAAACACGGAAACATGTTGATGTAAAAATTCCCAATACGAACAATTCTAGAAAAATAATCATCATTTGCACTTATTTATAAGCAATCACTTCTTGATAAAAGTGTCAGAAATGTAGTCTTAGCCCATTTCTGATTCCATACTCATCAGCCTATCTCTTACAACTGTGTAGTTCTTTAAATGCAGCCTTCCCTTAACAGGAGATGGGCTTTTGAGTTACGATCACAATTACGATAAAGCCAGGTTGTGCTGTAAAAAGCCCCATTACTGGGCAACTTCCAAAGGTTGCTGCAGTGCCACAGGAGTCAATGGCGCGTATCCAGCGTTCTCGCTGGATGTTGCTGATAGAGAGGAATGGTCAGGAGTCTTCAGTCTTTGGTAAAAGGTGTAAAATTGAGCATGTTGATAATGAAACATAATCGTAGATTGCGATACAGTCCCTAAACCGGTCATCTTAGATAGTGAAGTGTGTGTATATATACTTGATTTTGTTAAAACTTATCAAAATCAAATCAAGCTTTCATTGCATCCTTTATTAATAGAAAACAAGATGCTGCATCTTCAAAAGTAAAATGGAAAAATCTTTTTTTTAATTGAATGTAAATGGACCTCACGCTTTCAATGACGCAGAGTTTAATCCAGCTCTTTCAGGCATTGGTGTTAGGTATGATAAATATGACTGGAAGCAAAGTAGAATTATTAGATTGAAAGCTTTAACCCTGACTGTAGATCAAAGGAAGGTATATATATCTTTAATAAATCTACTTGTAGAAGCTTGTTTACATTACTGGAATCAGATCCTTAATCAACTCACTATCTAAAGCAGCTAAAAGAATATGAAAAATACCCTATTTCGGTGAGTGGTTGTTTCGTGATGGAGCATTAGTATGCTGGAACTTTGCTTCTTGAAACCTCAGACTGAACTGCGGGGTCCTGCTGAAGTCGTGAATTCTGCGCACTTGTTCTGCACAGTGTGCTTTGATGACTCTGCCACATCAAAGACAATTGCTTGTGCTCTTTACCGATGACATGCGGAAACAGAAATGCTCATTCATTTTAAGGTGTAAGAACAGAGAACAGTTCTCTCTTCATCAGCATCATCTCTCCTCTTGCTTCCTCCAAACGAAAACATGGTGACCAAAAATCAAGTGTGGAAGAATGTTACAGTGAACAATACAGAAATCAGGGTAAGGCTTCCTTCAGTGAGACTTCCAGAAGAAAACTTTATTCGACCTTCAACCGCTGGGTAAACTCTCTTCATTCTCTGGAGGTAACGGGAAACAACCTCAATATCAGATTCACCTAAACAAACAAAGAAAAAAAGGTGTGGTGTCCTCAGCAGCTGCCAAGCTGTGAATCAGAATTTAAGAACCCATCTAAAATTGCAGTTTTAGCTCAAGTCTTAAAGCAAACCCGTTCTCTACAGTTTGCCATTCTGAATTGGTGCACATCAAGACAGCGTGGGGGTGTAGAGAGCTGTTCCTTGTGCACAGATAAAACATCTGTGGTGGTTTATAGCCAGAATTTTTGGTAGTGACTCATGTTTTTATCAAAAAAAGAATTCTTTTTGCGTAATCTGGCCTTTTTTTTGTTTATTTTACATCTGTTACAATGGTAACTTCCAGTCAGAGTTAGGTAGATCGAGGCAGTCTCCCACCTGTTTGGGGTAGAGCGCTATAGATCTGGCAAAGCTATTGCTTACGCCTTTTCAAATTTAAATTTTTGGTTTTAGGAAGAACTTCTAGTCTGTATCCTGCTGCATGCACACAAAGTATGACATGGCTTTTCAGCAGTGGAAGCCCCTCTTCAGTTGCTGCCATCCATGTCACGAGCCACTTTGATCCAAGCTCTTGCAATCCTGAAGTGCAACACCTCCATCTTAAAAGTAATTATAGTTTTGCCCCTCTGCCTTACTGGAAGACTTTGCCAGAACCTTTCAAGTTGTTCCCTTTTTGTTATTCCTGGTGATTTCTCTCTGTGTGAGTTTCTTTCTGCATGCACACGAGGTTTACTGAAAACTGCAGCCCCACCAAATTTACATGCTGTAGGCTGAATTTGATTTAAAACACTAATCCTACCTGTGAGAATCAATTTTCAATTGAAACACCCTGTAGAACTAAAAAAAATAGTCTATAATGAAGGTGCAAAAGGAAATTTTTTTTTTTTTGTAAAAGCATGCTTTTATCCTCCAGAAGCAGAACTTCTGAAATTAAAGTTCTGCAAGATGTAGATGTGCTCCTAGAAGATACTTTTTTTTTTTTTAAATAAATACAGCACTACATCCTCGTTGTGTTTTCAGAAATAATGGATTTTAATCTCAAAAATTTTTTCAAGTTTCCCTTTGTCCTAAAAGATGTACATATCCGTCATGTGAATGCTGAATTTCTAACAGTTTGCATGCAACTTCAGTGGCTCTTAAGGCAGCATGGTAAACCACTACTCCCTTTCTACCTCCCTCGCCTGGTGCCTGCCGGCACCCTGCGCGTTGCTGCCCGCAGAACTCGTCAATGAGTGCCGCTGCTTGCGGAGGGGCAGAGCACGTTGGCATCTCTCCCCTCGTCCTCTGTGTTGCTCGCCTGAGCTGCACGTCCTTCAGCAGCAGAGGCGGCAATTCTGTCTTTGCAAATACTTCTGTGCAGTGGAAATTTAAGGTCTAGAGAAAATAGCACCTTTCTTTTTGATGCCTTGTTTAGTCATGAGTACAAGTGCAAGGCGGTACACATAATATGCACTCTCTGTAGTGTGGCTTTTGCTTTTTTTTCTGGTTTATCGTGAGCTCAGAACTGCTCTCTAAGCAGTGCTGCATTGATAAGGCTCGGTTTCTCTTTGACACTTTTGTGGTTTAACTGAAAAATAATACAGTTGCTGGCTACAACCCAAACTAGCAATCCAGAGCAGTCAGATTAGAAGCAAATTTAATCTATCTAATAAAATCTGAAAAATCTGACACTTGTACTATAAAAAGACCTTTCAACTTTTAGGTATCGGTTGTCTGCTGCCCTGTTGGTGCCCACACTTACCTTTACTGTATCCCAGATTTTTGTCTTTCAGCATACGATAGCCATCTCCTCCAAATAACATATAGGATGGAAGAGTCACGTTGTATATTTCATCCATCTGGAGCGGGACGTAGGCTGGGACTCGGCAGGCTGTGCAAAGCACTTCTAAGCTAACAACTCTGCTTCCTGGGGCTCTGGAGAGATCATAGACCACATGGATGCCTACGAAAAGACACGTTTGAATGCCACTTTATGCAGTGCCTATTGAACATAGAGGGCTAGAAGCAGCATCCTCCACCATTTTCAACAGATTCTTTAAGTTAGTTTCTGTGTCTGAGAGGTTGAATTGTTCTGAGTGATACCAGTTCACGTCCTATTTTCTTTGCACAATAATCAACTTTTATCCAAGGAAACTCATGAGATTAAAGAATTGCTGAAGTACTGTCCCACCTATCTGTCTGTTCTCTTCTTGTCACTGCTCCACAGAAGGAAATGACTTAGTCTGAGGACTACGGTACTGCAAGATAAAAATACCTTCCCTTATTTCTGTAGTCATATGCTTTCTCATTAGTCTGTCCTGTTGGCTGACGTGACTTCTTTTAAAGCCAGCCATCCACCGTAATTTAGCAGCTATTATGGGTAATAAGTACTGTTCTGAAAAAAGAAAGCCAGGCCAGGGCTGAACGTTGCGGTTTCTACTTGCTGTAGGCCCCCCAGAACAAGTGTTGCCAAGAATTTGTTCATCACTTAAAGCTAGTCCAAAGCAGAGAGGCTCTTCCAACTCTGGTTCTTCTGTCCTGAACCCTTTCCAGAGCTACCAGTTATCTTCTTTTTCTGTGAGAAGGCAGCAAGCAGAGGGGCTGCTGCTGCTTTACCTTTGTGGTACCCAAGAGCGTGGTAACTCGTGAAAGCGCTTGCCTCATGTGTGAGATGTGGGTTCTAAATTGCATGGCAGGGGAGTGCCCCCGTCACCAGGCCACGTGGGGGGAGAGGCATGGAGGGGGTGGAAATCCCTCAGCCCCTGCCCTTGAAGTTCAGCTTTTCTGCTAAATAAACAATAAAATCCACATTGCATCACAGGGAGAGCAGGAATAAACGTAACTGTAGCCCAGTACGCATCTGGATAAATATATGGGGAGCTGCAATTCAAAAAATGCATATGTTTTTAATATTAACTGTTCATCCCTAAAATATTTAGAAATTCTCCAGAGCAACTCCGTAGCCCACTTGGACTAACTCCAAAACTGTCAGCAATTGTTAGACACAAATGGCACAAAATGACTTTGATAAACAGAACTTTGGCAGAGTAACTGCGTGAGACACCCGGTCTGGGGTTTCAGGTAGGCTGCCAGAACTGAAACCAGGAGTTGTTGTAGCGATTACTGTGTTACGGCTACACTCAATTATATCTTCCTGTAGTTAACTGAAGTGTTAAACTGCTGCCATTACAGGTTACTGAACCAACCTGGAATTCTGTCCCTGCTGAAGGGAACAGCGATGGCCTGTGTGCTGCAGCTGCTCAGTTAAACATACGCAGAGGAAATAGTCTCAGTTAGCTGGAGTGCGTGAGGCACGGAGCTAGGATGTATGGCCAACTTGATTTCCATTCTTAAAGCAGCTCCCAGCTGCTACACAAGGCCAACAGAAGGGATGGCTGGCTTGGAAAACTGAGAAGAGGAATGAAGAAACGTACCTCCAACCTGCAGCAGCTCTCCGCTTCCTTTTCCGTATCTGTGCACACTGTGCTCAAAGGCTTCTTTCAGAGTGGAGCCTTTTACCCTTACCAAATCAAAACGACCTCCAAATGGCAAAACAGACAGCAAATCTTCCACAGTAATGCTCCCTGGGGGAATGAGACTTTGTTTATGTTTTGGTTTGGTTTTTTTTTTTTAAGTCTACCATATTATTTCAGGATTGTTTAACAGTACATTTTTGACAAGGAACGTGGCAAATACAATTTGAGAAAGTGAAGGCCAGCAAAGCTGAGGATCACATCCAGACCAAAGAACCTGTGCCTGTCATCCAGCATGTATCAAGACTGATAAATCTGGGTTTGATGTAACTGTGTGTATTGCTATTCAAATAATTCTACTAAAAGAGATTACAAACCACCAACCTGAGATGAAGAAAACCAGATATTCTTACTAAGTTAGGCGATTTTTCCAAGTGCTTAAGACTTACTCACATAGTCATACAGAAAGATTTAGCTAAACTGAAAAAGGTGTTTGCTTTCAGTTTTCATTTATGTGATAACAGGAAAATAAAAACTGTAAAGCTTTACCGTTCAGAAACCCCTAGGATTCACTTATTCGACTGCAGTCTACAGAAGGCTCCCAGCGACCACACCGTATGACCCTCTACGGTAGGAGGTGAAGAGTATCTACGGTCTGCCTTTGTTCCACAGCAGCAAGGAGAGAGGGAAATTATAAAGAGCACCGTGTACAAACAACGCTGGGAACTTCTACTAATGTCAGCCTGAGTGTGGTTGTGCTCCCGTGATGGATAACCATTTGAGAAAGTTTGAAATCGCCTCCAAACACACTGCAAATCCCATCAAAACAAGCTCATACCCAACACTAGGTTCAGGCTTGCTTAATAACTTGATTCTTCCTTCTGGGTAAAGTCGTCATTCAGCTTGTAATTTTACATACCGTTAGTGCTCTGTTCATCGATGGGTGACCGTATCCCACCGCCATTCAGGATGCAAATTGAAACATGGTTCCATGACTTTCTGTCCGGATGTCCGACATTCTCATAAAGCTACCAAAGGAAAATGTTTAAACTGGTTTTTAATCTTCACTTAGTCTAGGCTTGGGAAATTTGCACCCAGTCTGTGACTGAAAAGAGACAGAACGGTTTTGTATCTTCTTTAGCATTACCTTCAGCCCCACTGCAGAATGCTTAATTACTACAGAACAAGGCAAAAACCATTACGGTATTTGGTTTTTTTAAAATTTTCAGCATGAAAAATATTTGCCTTTTTCTGTAATGAACTCTTGGACTCTCCCATTGTCTGTGTGGATATGAAATGACCAGGGCAGGGCAGGCCACCTGAACCGTGTTAATCTTCAGAAATAACCAAGTAGAACAGGAAAAAGCTGAGAAAATAAACAAGGGTAAAGGAAGGGATGGACTGATTTCTGTACAGGAATGACCCTTCGAGTCTCACAAAGAGAAATACAGGAAGGACATGACAGAAGTCTCTAAAATCAAGAGGGGCACGTGGCGGCTAGGTAGGAATCAGTGAGTCTTCTCATTTCAAGAATGATAAAAAACTTAAGAAAGATTCAGAGAAGGGTGACAAGGACGGTCAAAGACACAGAAAAGCTTCTGAATATAGAATGATGATGTAGGCTCAGACTGTCTAACCTGGTAAAGAGGCAACAGCAAGAAAATACTTGAGAAGCCTATAAAATCGTGAGTGGTGTGAAGAGGGTGGACAGGGGCCAAATGTTCCAGTGCAAGGACTACTCCTTGGTGTCCAGCAGGCATCCAGCCAGCAGGCATCCAGCCAGCAGGCAGCAGGCTGCGCACAGACAAAAGACCAAGGTCTCTGCAGGATGTGCAGGTCAGCAGTGGAACACCCCACCACCGGCTGTTGTGAAGGCTGAAGGCAGTCAAGAGGAGATGGTGGGGCAAGATCAGGGAAGAGAAGTCCCAGCGGGAGCTAGTAAATACCAAGACGCCACTTTTGGCTTGGGAAGTCCCCGAGCTGCAAGCTGGTGGGAGGCGGGGACAGATTTGACTACAGCATCTCCACAGGCTTGTCCGGGTATATGCTCTTCCCTCACCATCCACCCTCAGTCACTCCTAGAGACAAGATGTTGGGATGGACAGTCCTGTCGTCTGTTCCAGTTTGGCCACTTCTCTGCTGCACCCCTATGCTGAGTGTTTGCAGCCTCTGACTTGTAGCTAGGTGTGTAAATGCTTTGCAGCTCCAGCTTGGCGATCAAAGTTATTCCCTATAGGCAGATCCATGAGATGCTCTTGAATTTGTAACTCATACTTAATCAATGAATGGATTTTTTTCTCTTTGCTGATTTCAGTCTGAACTATAACCCCTAATTTACTAATTTGCCTGGAACAGATACCAGGATTACAAATCTGTAATTCTTCAGTTCCCCAGGGAAGTATTTTTAAATTCTGGTACTCACTTGCTGTTCTCCAGTCCTGCGCATAGAGGCAGTTGAAAACAAGAGCTCACACACCTGTGTTAGCCATTTCACATCTGAGTTCCTCTGAAGTCCTCTGTAAAAATGCCACCTGGGTCTGTCAACCTTTTATTCTGAGATTTTGGGCTACTGTTGGAGAAGCATCACTGAACTAAATGGACCTCTGTTTTGACTCAGTACAAATAAATCGTACTTCATCACATGACACATTTCTCAATTGCTACATTTCCCAGGACAGCTCTAAATATTCAAGCCCGTGGAACAGGCATGTCTGTTTTTTACCTTCATACCCTGAATGCATGGCAGCAGAGAAGAAATGAAGTGTAGAACTGGTAAAGCAAAGAACATGAAGGGCAATCCATGTATCTAGTGGTGGCTGCAGATGGTTTTCTAGAGACGTCAATTTAACTGAAGTAGAATTTGACCTCCCAAGACAAAGTGCATAGCAAGAAAATCTACAGACTTCTGAAAGACTACAGAGTTACTTTCTTTAAGCTTGGAAAGTGCTGAAGCATTTGATCACATCTTTCAAATAAAAATATAAAAAAGTCTAGCAGGAAGAAAAAGCAAGGTGTTGCAATTTTAGTAGAACTGTACACAGAGTTCCCAAATCTTAGTCTAATTTGGAAATTAGCCCACGAACTAAGAATTATTTTAAGGATTACAATACAAGCAATCACATGGACTGGATAAATAGCTTTGGGCATATGCCCAAATGAAAACTCAGGATTATTAATTGGCTCCTGACTTCGGGGCAGTGCTGCAGGACATTTATGGCAATGCTTATTTTCTGGAAACAGTCATGTTCATGAATGCTTTTCCCTGGAGCACCCAAAGGAAATGGTGCTGCAGTGGGAGAGTAAAACAATTGAAACCAGCTAGTTTAAAAACTGGAAGTGACTTCTCATAAAGAGAACTGGTGCTACGTGACTGTTAAAGCCCAGCGATACCTGTCGAGATGCAGCCGGGGCCAGTGGCTCCCTCTGGGCTGGGATGCTGGGGGCTTTTCCCTCTTCTGCACCTGGCTGTGCATATGGCCTTTACCCCTCCTTTGCCTCAGCTGGCACCTTCTGGGCTCTTCAGGGGGTCAATTCATGCCAGTAATTTGGCAGAAAACTACCCTGATTATTTTTTTTCTGGGCTAATACGTTAAAAAAGGGTGACAGTAGAGCCCAGTGAGTAATGATGGGGCAGAAGGTAAGTGCCATGAGCAGAAGACAGGTAGCAGGGCAGGAGAGCAGTAGGGGAGCCAAGTTCTCCTCCTTGCTTGAGGAATGGGCTCTTAGATCAGATGGCTGTGTCTCTTAAAACTGCAGCTTCAGAGAGCTGCGAAAAGCCATTCTCCGTATGAGGCTACATGCAAAGAATAAACCACTCCTTACTCTATACAGCAAGATTCATTACAGCCTTGCTTCTGCCAGATCTTTCTAGGGATGCACTAGATGTTATGGTCTTGGAAAGCAGCACAGAGCCTACGTGCTGATAGTTGGGAGCCTGGGAGCATTTCGTCTGATAGCTCTGAAGTAACATTTAGATGTGATTGCCACCTGTGGTGGCAATGCCTTACCACAGCATCACAAAGCAAATTTCCCATGTTACATTCTTGGAAACGGCACGCTTGGCTTGTACCATTCAGGAAAACACTGGTTTTTCCAATCTCTTTAGAATAATTCCCCAGGTTTTTCCTCCAGTTTTCCACTTCTTCTTTAATGCGCTCATCTGTAAATAAGCATGGCACGTATCTCATATTAATGATACTTCAGTGAATACAAAGTTTAGGAAAAACCCCTGCTTTTCATGATTCTAAAATGTTACGCTTTCTCTAAAGGCTCTTCAAGAAACACGACTGCTATGCTCACTTCAGACAAAGCCTGTAAAGGGAGCAGGCAGGACGGGACAATCAAGTGAACGAGCTGTTACTGTGCCACAGCAAGGTTATCTCCCCCCATAACACTTAAAAACATTTTTGCCCAGTCCTGTTCTAACCTCTGACTGATGGTGTTTCTATACAGGAGCTTCTGTACAGGAATTTTTAATATACAAGTGAGCTTGGTCTTTATTTGACATCATATCTTTTTTTTTTCCTAATTATAGCTTCTTCTCCCTTAATGTCGTGCTAAAAGGAACACTAGCTCAAATACCAGTGTCAAGGAATAAACCCTTTATACAAATTAATTCTCTATGCACATCTCTCTGCCAGCTGCAAATCTAATTATTTCAGAAAAAAAGAAAAGATACAAAGATACTTGTATATACAGACAGATAATGCCGCAACTGTTTTGTATCAGCAATTAGTTTTAAGCAATTTGCCACGTAACTGTCAGCAACAGCAACATTTATGGAAAGAGAACACCTATGTATCTGAATGTTTACTTTTACTGACATGAGAGAATATAAAGTCCCTTTACATCATCTCATTAACAGATCGCTCAGAATAACATAGTAAATAAGAGTACGAACACATCATTTTTAATGGACTTCTTTTGTAAGTACGCTGGCAGAACCTTGAAAGTATGATGAAAGCTCAGAGCTTTGCACAGCAAAGACTGGACAAGAAACAAAGACTAGAGAACCAGCCCTGGGTAATTATGGAGCTGACAAAAAGCAGGTAAGAGAGCTTGGACAGTTATAAACCGAAAGCAACAGAGGGGCTCTCCTCTTCCCAGTTCTTTAAATGTTTCAGATCTGAAACACTGAGCACACTCAGCACTGAAAACAATAAGCTATGGGGTTTGTATATTGTATTTGCACGTTGCCAGAGTAGCCCAGGTTTTTTCTGGAACATTTCCACTTTCCTACGTTGCCCTAAACTCTGTTCTGAAGAATCCAGCCCCAGGCAAAACAGTGTAAATTAGTCCTCATAATCTTTGAAATCATAATTACAGGGCTAGCTAAAATGGGCTCCACTAACTGGTAAGGTAATGTGTCACCTGAGCTCCTACAAAAGGACTTTCAGTGATTTAAATAGGCAAAAACATACACCGAATCTGTGCATATTCCAAGGCCACTGTTCAGAAAGAGGAATAAAGGCAAATGGGTACAACTGGAACACAGCCTGAACCCTACCCCAAAGAGAACTGCAAGCTCTGGAGAGCTGAAGTATTCTGTGGCACTGTACTGCATATTGAACATGGTAACACCTGAATCGTGGTAGAGTGCTGCCGGCAAATTCGCATGTCCAGGCCACATACCTTCAGGAACACTGCTGTCCAGCAGAATGGGGTTTCCAACCGCTTCAACTACATTTCCTTTCTTGTCGAAGGTAACATTTAAGTAACCAAGGTATTTTCCATAAGCATAAGCTTGTACAACAGGTACCTTCCTCCCATCATCTGAGTCAACCATGAATGGATACGGGCCAGCTGGCTTTTCAGTAGAAGGTGGGGTGCCTGCACAAAACAAGTATGTAAAGCAGGGCTTCAGCTCGTGTGACCTCAGGGAATGTTTAGAATGACATTTCAAATGTTTCTCAGCCTTAAAAAACCCACATAGGCAATTAAGCAGAAACAACAATGGATGCATTGGGCGGCAAGCACACATCTGATTGTTCAGTTATGTTATTTCATAAGAGACAATGCTGTTTTCAGGACATGAGCTCTAATAACTACTACAGTGTTTTTTAAGTTGTGACAGCACGCTTCGCCATGACATCATGTCACAATAGCAACAAAGGAACTTTTCATTCCAATTACTTGAATCTAAACCTCTCAGTAATGCACACATACCAGCCTCTGGCTGAAAAGTTTATTGTTAAGCCTTCATGCTACGTTATTCTGCATCCAATAGAAAATGAGAATGTTAGTAAAATACGTAGGACTTCTTGATATAGCAGTCAGAACCTACAAGCAGTTCCATGAATTTGTGCATACGCCCAACTGATTTTTTATTTTTTTTTTACTATACCAAACTTAGCCCTCAAAATTTCAGACAGGCTGCAAACCCCCTACAAAAGGAAACTTCATTAGCATTAGAGTTATGTGGTCATGGAGTTAAAACTCTTATCTACCTGCAGAGTTTGAAGGGCGATTAGATGTGGGTCTTGGAAACATAGATTAAAGGAAGGCATTTAGAGAGAAGAGATCTCGGCTCAATCGGCACAGGCTACCACAGGATTTAGAAACCAGGCAGGGGAGGAAAGCGGCAAAGAAAACTGCACAGCACAGCTCTCGTCTCAAGGGGACCCGCCTTCTCCCTGTCTCCTTGACAATATTATCTGGGTAGTATCACTCCCCGCTGTGTCTCCCATCAGTATTTCCACCCCACCGTCAGCCAAGACCGAGGTCGGGCAGCTCTGGGAGGCACCGCACGCTGCCTGGCAGGCCCCACCGCAGAGCCCCCTCAACGCCTGCGGCTCGCTCCTGTCCCAAGGCCGGCGGCGTTCCCCAGCCATGCATCAGTGGGAGCCGGGGTGCCGGCGGGGCGGGGGCATGGGAGTGCGGGCACAGAGGACATGGATTCGGGAGAAAGCAGGCTCTTCACTTCCACTGCTCACACAACAACTGGTTTCCTTCCAGTTACAGTTTTCATAACATGAAATCCTGGGATAAGCAGCACGACAAATGGTCCTCCTAGAAAACCAATACAATTCTTAGTTATCTCTAACCCCTCCTCTTCTCCAGGGCTGTAACAAACTACAAACTGAACCAAATTTATCAGAGAACTAGTTTTTCTTCTTTCAGCCTGGCTGACAGAGTTGTTTCTTGGTGGTGCCTCTTCACTATTCGTTATTTATTTTGGGAAGAATTTAAGAAATCGTGTAGCTAATGAGAACCCTGCAGGATTTATGTATGCAAAAGTGGCTTTGGGTTTTTTGGAACTGAAAAGGAATCGGTTTTGATTTCTTGCTCTCGTGTAGTCCTCAAATGAATGGAGCATTAGCAAGAGAAAGTTACGCTTTCTGTTCATCATATTAGTTTACATCAGCTGCGCATGGTTAAGTGCTTGTCCAGAGCCTTATTCACTTCTTTCTTCCTGAAGAAATACTTTCTGATACTGGTACTTTCTGGCAGGATTAATTATCACTACAGCATTATTCTGTTGTAAGACAGATGTGTTCCTTTTGAAATGAAAAGACTTTTCAGTGCATCTTATCCCCAAAGAAAACAGCACTAGAATTCATGCACACATCTCAGTCAAAGTGTGAGAAGCCGTTTCATTAGAAAGGCACAAATTCGTACTGGGTAACTGAAGGACCTGTAACACTTTCCTATTTTCTTACCTTGTTTTAGCCAACACACTATATTCTCAGAACATCCTTTCTGACGAAAACCAGAAATTAAAACGCTCTAGCCTAAAACTACCATTACTGTTTGAGTCAAGTTCTACAACCCCAAAGCACACCTGAACAAGTCAAGACAACATTTGCCACATAACCTGTGGATAAACCAGAGATTTGCAAATGTCTTAAGAGACACAGATAGGTTGGACTAGTCCAAGAGTCTTAGGCCCTTATATTAAGGTATCTCTCTGGGGGTCTCTGCATGGGCAGTATGTCTCTCAACTCACACGACAGCCAGAGATTCAACTGACCAGCTGGTACGCCTCCACTTAGACTGAGCTGAAACATCCTCCCAAATTCTGCTGCCAGTTATCGATTACAACTCTTGATTTAAATGACATCTTATAGGCTTAATGTATGCATAGACACACACACAGAGACTTGAAATTAGATGTTTTACTCTGCAGTCAAACCACCTCCACAGATGTGGCTATTTCACTGTGGACGTTGGCTGACAGCTTTGACTTGGAAGGGAACGGTTCACAAATGCACTCGTGGTGCTCTTGGACAGATTAGCAAGTGCTTCTCAGCACTTGGAATAAAAATTATAGACTCAGTCCACATTCTGTCAAAACACATATTTTGACTAAGTGGATACATATTTTTTGGTGTTATCTCTCCCAGATATTTCTTCTTATTTTTTATTTTTCTCACCTCTCCAGTGTTAATAAAAAAGTAAGACAGACTTGTTTAATCAAAATAGTACAGCCTGTGGAAAAGGGACCAGGACCCACTTCCAGCTGAGGTCTTTAACCTAAAGGCTGCAGGGTCCTGTCCTGCGTGCTCTCTCTGGCCTTGTGAATCTTGAACAGCTTCAAACGGGGAGAGATGGAACAGCTTGACCTAGTCTAGTCTGACAGTGGGGTACTCTCTGGGATGACAAGAGATGTGCATGCGAGCTCCTACAGATCTAGACAGGATATGAACTCGGGTATCTCAACTCCTGGAGCACTTCAGATCTCAATTCCAAACTGTGAACAGTGGCAGCTCTTTGGACCACACCCAATAAGGCATTTTGACTACTACTATGGCTACCACCTCGAGGCACAAACCCTCTACAGGCATTGACCAACAAGCCTGTGCAAGAGAATCTTGATTCCACTGTGTAAACCCACGATGAATGCACACTTTGAATACTGCATGCATCCTTGGTTTTCCCATCTCAAAAATAATTAAATAAATCTGCTGAAAAATGCCACCAGTGGGCAGCAGGCTGCGCACAGACAAAAGACCAAGGTCTCTGCAGGATGTGCAGGTCAGCAGTGGAACACCCCACCACCGGCTGTTGTGAAGGCTGAAGGCAGTCAAGAGGAGATGGTGGGGCAAGATCAGGGAAGAGAAGTCCCAGCGGGAGCTAGTAAATACCAAGACGCCACTTTTGGCTTGGGAAGTCCCCGAGCTGCAAGCTGGTGGACTCCAGGAGCTCCACAGGCTTGTCCGGGTATTCGCTCTTCCCTCACCATCCACCCTCAGTCACTCCTAGAGACAAGATGTTGGGATGGACAGTCCTGTCGTCTGTTCCAGTTTGGCCACTTCTCTGCTGCACCCCTATGCTGAGTGTTTGCAGCCTCTGACTTGTAGCTAGGTGTGTAAATGCTTTGCAGCTCCAGCTTGGCGATCAAAGTTATTCCCTGAGGCCAGGTTTAAGAGACATTCTGAACTGTTTAATGTATAACTGTAGCATGCAATTGTGTCTCTTTAACAAGTGGGATAGTAAAAGGTGAGAGCCTGGATGAGACAAAAAAAGGCATGAGAAAGTGAGAGGAGATGAGTAGGGAGAGGACAGCGTGAAATGGATGGTGCAAAACCTTCAAGTGGCAAAGTTCCTAGGGGACATGGTGCTATCCCTGTGAATAAGGCACATGGGCAATTTTGCTGAAAACTACAGAAAGTTCCTGTTATAGTCTCAACCAGTTCATGAAGTTTCTACTAAATTTAATGAGCTATCTTTGATGGTTTAAAAAAGTCCAGCCTTTCCTTTACTTGTGTCCTGGCACAGGGAAGGCAGCAGCAATAGCGAAGCTGCTGATGGCAGGATTTCCGTAAAGTAGCATTGCTGCGGAAGAAATCAGATCAACGATACTTATCTCTGGAATGATGTCTACTGCTAGAGGAAATAAGAATAAAGTCAGAGATTAAAAGAGGGCCTGAAAAAGACAGAGGAAACTTGGGAAAAGTTTTTTAATGGCAGGGCTAATGGAGACCTATGAATACAGAATCAAATTCACCGGAAAATCAACAACCGTACATCTTATATGACTGGGTTTTTTGGTTAAGTCACATACAAGTTTAAATGTAAACATCTTATTTACTCCTTTATGTGTGTGAGCTTGAAACAGGTACAATATGTTTAGCAGTAATTTACCGGTATTACTACCTTTGTTCCTCTGTGCTGCTTTGTATAGGTCACCTTGAACATCCACAGCATTCAGGAACCTTTCAGTGAGTTAGGGCACTTCGTGTTCACAGACTGTTGTAAATTAGTTCCTTCCATGGAAGTTATGGATAGGTACCGGCTATGAATCTGGCCCAGTACAGCCAGCAGTAAGCTGTATTTGTGAAAATTCTCTGAGTTTGAAGAGAAAGAGTTTCAGCTTTTCTTCAGAAGCAACATTTTAGTAAGAAGTAAAATACCTGTATAGAGAAATGTGTTTGTATGTCCTCCAATTACAACATCCACTCCTTTCACCTTTTGGGCAATATTTATGTCCACAGAAAAACCAGAATGTCCTAGTGCAATTATTTTGTTCACTCCCATAGCAGTAAGTGCATTCACTTGTACTTGCAATGCTTCAATTTCATCTTCAAAGATTACATCATCCCCTTAAAAAAAAAGAACAAAGATGAACGTATTTACAAAGTACCTTAATTACTAGTTAAAAAAAAAAGTTGATATCAGATACTGTTCTGTATAATTAATGCAACTTTGAATGTCAGTGGCTTTCAAATGCCCTTAGCTGGTTCAGGCTCCTGATCTGATGTTCTCCAGCTTCTCAGGAGCACTTCTGTGCATGCAAGTTGTAACAAGAATTGAAAGGTGATACAAAAATTCCAGTGACAGCAATTGTGGGATCAAAAATGGACTGGCTTTTATTATTTAACTAGAGAAACTAAGTATGTCACTTAAGTGCTTGAGTATAAATGCTTGTATCGTACTATAAAGCTTTTTTGCTTCCCAGATTATACTTCTTTGAGATCTTCGATCTTCTCCCGAGTTAAAACCTCTCTTTTTACTCCACACTCGCCTCTTTCTTCCCTGCCCTCCCCCGAGGCTTTAAACAGCGGCTTCTCCAAAGTCCCGCACTAAACTCTGAATTGCCTTTTCACACAAATCATCTCACCTCATGGGAACCACTCTCAGTAACACCAATACAGCACAGCACACAACCGAGCTACCATCCTGAACCGAGAACATAGAGGACGGAAAGTCTGGAAAGGAGAAACCTTTTCCGGACCACAATGTTGGGAAACTCACAATCTTTCTGCAAGGTTTCTGTGCCTCCTGAAATTATTCTAAGATGACAAAGAGTTACAAGAACAGTCCACAAACGTGCGCTTCTATCCTGGGCACAGTGGTTTTGGGTTGCACAAAAGGACTTCCTATGTAAGAGGCTAATTTCTCTGGCAAAGTTTTAAGAATAGAGTTTAAGAATAGAGTCAACAAATTGTAATCCTAAACTTTCCAGTGAAGACAACCGAGTAACATTTCTACCAATTCCTCCTCTAGCCAATTCCTTTCCTTCCTGCAGAGTCTTTTTATCAAACCATTTTGAAATAAGCCTTTAAAATCCAAAGATTTACATTATTTCATAACAAAGGGAGGAGTGAAACGAATTCACAATCCAGCAGAACATGTCTCAGGAAATGAAGAGGAAGCTACGACAATGGAAGAGATAAAAGAGGGTTACCATAAATTGGTTCACCACCACACCCATTGAATAGTTCTGTTACTGCCAGAGGGAATCTCTGTACTGCACATTGCAGAGTGAATTGTGCAGTGCATCCCCATATTTTCTTCCCGTGGACCTCTTCTTACAATCAGAGTCATAAGTTAATTGAGGTTGGAAGGGACCTCCGGGGGCCATCCAGTCCAAAACCTGCTCAAAGCAGGAACTCAAAGCCAGATGAGGACGCTCAGGGTCTTGTCTGAGCAAGCTGAAATTCCACAGCCTCTCTGGGCAACCTGTTTCACAGCTTAACTGCTCTTACCGTGACAAATTTTTTCCTTACGTCCCACCATAATTTCCTGTGGCAGTACTTGAGCCTATTGTTTCTTGTCCTTTCTCTGCCCCTCTGGGAAGAGTCTGTCCTTGTCTTCTCTATAAACCCCCTTAAGACAGTGGAAGACTGCACTTAGTTTCCCCTTAGCCTTCCTTCTCCAGGCTGCAGGAAGCCACCAGTTTCAGCCCCTCTTTGTACATCCTTGTGCTTGACAGAAGCTGGGCCTGATGCAGAGCTACGAGCAAAAGAGGAAGTCCAAGAAATGCTCCTTGAGCGTAGGCCCTTCACATACTCATCTCACCACCCATGGACCAGCTACGACAGCCATGCACACTATGGCGTTGGGACCGGTTCTGTAAAGAGAGCTGAGCTCTCTAAATGAAGAGCAAGAGCAAGCCACTGGCTAGCTGTTCCAGCATGCAGTTGCCTGCAGGCCAACTTCTCCCACAGCGTGCAGCCAGAGGCCCGTGATAACAAAGCTCTCCCCATCAGCACCAGCTCTGTTGCCCCTCTACGCTGCTGCAGCCTACATGCACTGGAGACACATTATTACTGGTCTTCAACCCATAATAAACCAAATAAACCTACTTTCATAATGAGGGGTAAAACAAGGCCTGTCCCATCCCAGTAAGTCCGTCTCTCTCCCGGGACTATTACAGAAGGGCACAGGCGGCCACTGGCACTGGGGCAGGCAATGGCACTTCCGACCCACCCGCTCAGCAGATGCCTGCTGCCCACCTTGCTCCCAGAAAGGGATTCCTGCTTGGTGGAGCTTCTTGCACTGCCTCTCTGCGACCTCGCCGGAGCATCTCACACACCTTCCTATCCTAATCATCTCAGCACTTGATCTAATTGAGCTGAAATGGGCCAGCAGGT